CTCAGTTTCGAGTTGGTCTTTACTCCTCCACTTAAGCTAGAGATCCCTGACGGGATAGGCGAGAGCGGACCCAGGAGTTCCTGAGATCCTTCACATAACTCGAAACTACTCTCTATAGTCTGTGGGCACCGGTCGACGCCTCAGACTCTATACCTCTGTCGATCAACTCCATTCTCATCGTGCCCAGTCAGGGCTTCTTCCCACTTTTCTCAGGCTTAGCTGCGCCCTGCTGAACCTCCTCGGTGAAGCGAATACGTGGATTGTCAGTCAGGATACATAGGCCCTAAACCAGCCTCCTGCGAAAGTGGGCGACATACTACAGTCCCAAATCTTGCCGCGACCCCAGGCATAAGGGGACTTGCCAGTTAAAACCTAGTGGTTAAAACCGCATTAGGGCTGTCAAGAAGGGCCAGGAGTGCCTGTTGACGTCAGCACTGCTAGGAGCAAGGGACGCAGTACTCCTTAAAAGGGTACCACTATCATTGTCTAATCCGTCGGGGACCCTGTCTGGTCTGGCTACTGTCAGGCCCATAGACCCCGTAGAGGCGTGACCTTGAAGCGTGGGGCTGCTAGTCCATATAAACTATCCTCGGCCTTGCTGCCGTGCTATACGGAGGATTTATCCTCTAACGTCGCCATCCTAGCCACCAGGTCTAGGGGTAGCAGACGTAACAACCGCAGACAAGGGAGAACTTGCGGGAGGAACGAGTCACCTGTGAAAAGGCTCTGAAGCTGTAAATCAGCAACACTTCTGGACCGCTTCGGCGAGACCTGCACAACCTCGAGTAGTGAGGGAATAAACCTACTTGCTCAGTGCTAAAGCGGCACCAGACGTGTATTCAACCCCTGCGCAGTTCTGATCTACTTAGGGGTTTAGTTACTCATACATACGTAGACAAATAGTCGTTTGGTGTGGGACGAACTCTCGGAAAGCTCTGCTGGAACGGCAGGTGGACCAAGGTTACATCCCTTCAGAGGTAGTTGGACACTGGTGGTGAAATAATCAAAGACCACAAAGACCCCTCTGCGACTGCAAACCGCACCATTCAGGACTCCGTAGTAACTAGACCTACTAGGAGTAGCAGGACTCTAAAGCTGCGTCTGGGTCATTACGAGGCCTAGTGAAGAACAACTCGTCAAGCACGCGAGTAGATTACACCATCGAATGCAAAGGTTCTCGTTGGAAGGATACACATCCATATACACCGTATCCCCTGGACCAGTAGAGTGGGATCAGGTCTACGAGCACATCAGCATCATCTTTCGGGCAGACTTCATCTACCAACCACACGTCGCCCAAGCTCGTTTCGTCCTATACCGCTACCAAGTCGTCATCGATTACTACGAAAGGCTCGAATACCAGCCACATCGTATAGTCAGGGAAACCCCCAGACCACTCGAACCGGTAGAAGACGATCAGGAGTTGTACCATCTCCTGTTTGACGAAGAATACGGTATTTCCTCCAGCGACGAAGAAGAACCTTTCTGAACAGGTCGCCAACACCCCGACCAGGTACCAGCACCGAAGATGGCCGGAATTGCACAGTCCGAACATTCTGTAGAGGGACACTTGAATCCCGCAGGTACAGAGCCCAGGGCCTCCTCCCCATCAGCATTCAATGACACCAACATCCTCGCTCCCACACCCCGCTACTTCATGACTCCAGCTATGCTAGAAGTGCTTCCCAGAAGAAGGGGACCTTCAGCCAGGCTGGCAGATGAATTCGCCACCCTATACCCAAACGAACCAAGGACAGGAAGGCGATTCCATCAGTGGGAATATGATATCCGAGCTCGAGACCACTCTGAAGAGGATCGGCAGCGATATCGAACACAGCCAATAGATGTGGTAGCAAGGCACGGGGGGGCAGCAAGGGGGCAAGACTACGTCTGGTCAAGCCACGCTTCAGGGACTCCGCCAGGATATGAGCGATACAGGCTCCCCGATAACCGGCAGAGTTACTACCTGGCACGACCCGGTCTTCCCCCACCCACGGAGGAAACACCCGGATTCTGGACCCAGCCTGTTGATATGCGATGTGCTTACCAACATCTCCAGGCGGACTACGACCGTCTGCGGGGCAGGCTCGACACAGCCCTAAGAGAAGTAACGGAAGCACGGGAAGGACGCCTGGTGGCCGAAGCAACCCGGGATCGTCTCATGAGGCAGGTGAACGAATACGAGGCTTCGCGAACAGAGCGCGGCAACCAGATCCACAAGCTAACAGTGGAACTGGAAGCCATGAAAAAAGCATACAACTCTAGTGAGGCAAGGGTGAAGGGTCTGGAAGAAATCAATGAGACCCAGAAAACCCGAATTAACCTCCTGGAAGCCATGGCACGTCCACCACCCCCCTCCCCAATTTGATCCCCCAAGAAACCGGTCGATAAGGGAAAGCGGAGACAGGATCCTGGTCAACAGGACATTCGAGATTGGGTAAAAGGAGTCAGCGGACCCGCCGGCCCTAGCGGACTCAAGCCGGCACACCAGGCAAACCCTGAGCAGCCGTCCGGTAGGGTGCAGATGCCCCCAATATCCCCGGCACACTCCTACGAGGGAGACCAAAATGACAAGTTGGCGGGGGCACACTATGCATTCCCACCAGAGCAACCGGTCCCACCACCGGACCGGAGTCGTCGCTCTGCCGCCCCGCCGCCAGCATCCTCGGACGAAGTTCATAGGAAATCGTTCCGAGGACCAAAGGTCAACCTCCCGGAGCCATTCGATGGCACCAAGGCAAAGGCAAAGGCATGGCTTGTCGATGTGATGAACTACATCATCATGAAACCCAGCGAATTCGAGGATGAACAAAGTAAAATTCGCTGGGCAATGTCTTACATTCGAGGGCCACAAATACAGTAGATCACTGGAAAGCCTCCCTTCTGGAAAGGATGATGGGAGGCCCACCGGTATACGCCACGCTCCAGGACTTCATCGCGGACTTCAAGAAAATGTACTACCCCGCGAATCCGGAGCTGGAAGGCCAACGAATGCTGCGGAATATGCAGCAAAGGTACAAGCCTTGGGAGGAATTCGAAGCCGAATGGGAACATTGGGTCAAGGTCTCGGGGTATAAGGATGAACAGCTACTGCTCCAACTACTTAGGACGGCCATGAGGAAAGAACTCTGCGACAGAGTATGGGCGTCTGAAGGGATCAGTCGAGATGTCAATAGCTACAGCTTGTGAAAACAGGTTGCGGCCCGACTAGATCTCCAACAACAGCAGCAGTGGGCATCCACCTTCGAGGACTGAAAGGGCAAGGGGAAAGCCAAAGACTCCAAAACCCGACAAGTCCACCAGGAGGAAGGTTCGACAACGGCAACGGTCAATGCGGTCAGGACAACGGGAAGGGCGCCCATCAGAAACGTCGATGAGGCAGGCAAGGCGGTGCCACACAAGGAAACGGTAGGCATCGAAAACGAACGCGACAAGCACCGAAAGTGTGGTACATGCGGAAAGGAAAGGTCGGAGAAGGGGTCGTGCACGGATATATGGCACACCCACTACTACGACGGGAAGGCGCAGTGCTGGCGCAAAAAGGATGCCCAGCCTGCAGCTCGGGCCAGTACGGTAGAAGAAACTGAGGCCGTACGAGCATTCAAGGCGGCCATCGCGGCCAACCCCGCTCTGCTCAACCAGGCGGGTTTTCAATTCGGCAAGGCTTAAGTACGCAAGTCTTGCAGGACTCTCGACTCGTTCCGGACATTTCCATTTCCCCGACCAATAACGTGCGTCCCTCGGTGGTGGAGGCCCAAAAGCCTGAGAAGCGCCCTGGTTCACACGGGTCACCCCTGACCATTAACGGCCATTCCATGGTCACGGAGGTCGCGAGACCTGAGAAGGGCCATGGTTTAGACGGGTCACCAAAAGGTAGGTCCCCAGGGAGAGTCGAGCTGATGGTGGTGGAGGCAAAGCCTGAGAAGCGCCATCAAGCCGTACCTGAAAACACCCTGGAGGGATGTGGGCAGGAGGGTCTAAGCTCAGGAAAGGGAAAATTCAGTACCCCTGACGCAGACGACAGCACACCACCACTCCCTAGCGGATCTCGATTTTCAATTCTTTCATCTCTCAACTGTACTTCTAGCACTACGTCGGACAATATGGGTACAAGTAGTGGTGCCCACTCTAATGTAACAGTAGTAGGAGCGAAAACGGGGTCTCGGGATGACGGGACCTTAGTGGTGCCTGATCGAGCTCGGCCGGATCAAGAAGCATCGGTGCTTAATTCCGTGAATAGCTCAACTTCTAACATTTCTTCAGTTCCGGATAGTTTGCGAGTGGAAGCTTCAACGACGGCAAGGCGTACACCGAAGAAGAAGGCACAGAAAACCACTCTGCATGTATTTTTAGACCACCCGCAAGCCATCGTACCTACCCGTCAAACAGAAGGCGCGGCAGGGTACGATCTGCATTCAGCGGAGGAAGTGGTCATTCCCGGACATTCCCGTCTCCTTGTAGATACCGGCCTGAAGTTGATGATACCCAGCGGATGCTACGGACGCATCGCTCCGCGCTCAGGCCTGGCTGTAAAACACGGAATAGATGTAGGAGCCGGAGTAATAGACTCGGACTATGTTGGACGAGTCAAAATACTCCTAATCAATACCCTTGATACCCCGTTCCAGATTGAGTATGGGGACCGAGTCGCCCAGCTAATCTTGGAACGGAACGATACCCCGATTACCGAAGTTGTGACGGAAATAGCAGAAACAACAAGAGGGACTGCTGGGTTCGGATCAACCGGTACTAAACTGCGTGGACAATTCAACGTTCGAGCAGTACGATGACATCGCCAGATCGATATACCAGTAACAATAGAAGTTGGGGATAGGAATATACCAGCCAAAGCCCTTCTAGATTCAGGTTGCACCGGGTGCTGTATCGACGAACAATTCGTATCTAAGTTCCAGATACCTAAGATACCGTTCGATCGACCACTCCGAGTGTTCAACGCAGACGGGACCCCTAACCGAGACGGCGATATGACACATTATGTATTACTAGACATAGTTATCCAAGGCCATAGAGAGCGCCGATCATTCAACGTGACTACCCTTTCGGACCATGACATGTTCCTCAGGTTCGACTGGTTGGAAGATCACAACCCTGACATTGACTGGGCTAAACGCACGCTTCGCTTCACGCGTTGTAACTGCGGGGAGCTTAAGTTGGAAGACAGGGATAAGGTGCTGGCATTGGACAGCGACTACATTCGGAAACAATTTTCCGAATATGAACACATACGAGCCACCAAGGCCACCGACCTAGCCATCGCTCAAGGCAAAAGCACTAAAGCCAAGAGCATGCAAGAGGTAGTTCCAGAAGAGTACTGGGATTATAAGGAAGTCTTTGAGGAAGCTGAGTTCGATCAGCTCCCTGAACGCAGAGTATGGGATCACGCCATAGAACTAGTAGACGGCGCGAAACCCTTCTGCGGAAAGGTATATCCAATGAGCGTAAAAGAACAAGAAGCTCTGGATATATTCCTCGAAGAAAACCTTAAGACTGGTCGCATCAGACAGTCTAAGTCCCCCTGGGGCGCCCCCTTCTTCTTTGTCAAGAAAAAGGATGGCAAATTAAGGCCGGTACAGGACTATAGACGGCTCAACGAAGTCACAAAGAAAAATAAATACCCGCTCCCTCTAATCAATGATTTATTTGACCGGCTTAAGGGAGCCCGGTACTACTCTAAGCTCAACATCCGGTGGGGCTATAATAACATAAGGATCAAGGAAGGAGATGAGAAAAAGGCCGCGTTCGTCACGAACCGAGGTCTGTTCGAACCTCTAGTGATGTTCTTCGGACTCACTAATTCACCATCAACGTTCCAAATGATGATGAATGACATCTTCCACGATCTAATTCTCACTGGAAAAGTTATGGTATACCTGGACGATATCTTAATATTCACCAAGGACATGGATGAGCATCGCCAGGTTGTAAAACAGGTACTTAGAATACTCCGGGAGCACAAGTTGACGTGCAAACCTGAGAAATGCGAGTTCCATGTAGAAGAGACCGAGTACCTAGGTCACATCATTGGCCATGGGAAACTTCGCATGGATCCTGCAAAAGTTGCTGGCATTGCAGAATGGCCAGAACCCAGGTCTAAGAAGGACGTTCAACAGTTCCTCGGATTCTGTAATTATTATAGACGTTTTGTAAAAGGCTTCGGCTCCTTGGCCAAGCCTCTTTCGGACCTTACGGGCAACCGAGAATGGGAATGGACGGACACCGAACGAAGTGCCTTCCAAGGTCTCAAAGACCTCCTCACATCGGCCCCAATTGTACACATACCTACGGACGAGGACCCGTTTATGGTAGAAGTAGATGCTTCACAATTCGCCCTCGGGGCAGTTCTTATGCAGAAGCAAGATAATCTTTGGGTACCAGTATCATATTACAGTAGGTCGTTCAAGGACGCCGAGAAGAACTATCAAGTGTACGATAGAGAGCTTCTCGCCATTGTAGATTGTCTAGAAGAATGGCGACACTACTTAATACACGCCAAGCATACTGTACAGATCTTCACTGATCACCTTAATCTGACATATTTCAGGAAGCCTCAGAAGATCAACCCCCGTCAAGCAAGATGGATGTCTTTCCTCGCTGAGTACGATTTCGAACTCCATCATATCCCAGGCAAGAAAAACAGCGCAGCAGACGCTCTCAGCAGACGACCAGACTATGACGACGGTATGGATCACTTGGACAATCAGGTCGTATTACCTGCCGAGTTGTTCCGGAGTACCAAAGTCGTAGGGACAGATGCCATCCACGACCTCTGCACCATACATTCTTCCGAATATTTATTATGGAAAACTTTGCCTCAAAAGGAGCTCGAGTCAGCCGAGGACGGCACACTCTGGAGGGGGGGTGAAATTCTCATAATTCCAAACAACCAAGAAATAATCGGCAAAGTAATACAGTCCCACCACGATGCCGCATTCATGGGACACCCAGGAATAGAAAGGACCATGGAATTAATCAAGCGATCGTACTGGTGGCCGGAGATGATCAAAGATGTTACGGCGTATGTGAAAGGTTGTGGGACCTGTCAAAAGGCCAAACCTAACCGCCAACATCGATCAGCACCATTAGAGCCAAATCCAGTTCCAGACCATAACTGGCAGTACATCTCCACGGACCTTATTGTAAAACTACCTACTGTAGACGGGTACGACTCCATCCTTGTATTTGTAGATTTGAAGTCAAAAGACTTCATAGCTATACCCTGCACGGAGTCGATTAACTCGAAGGACTATGCGGACTTGTACATTAAACATGTAATGTCGGCACACGGACTAGCAGAACGGATATGGTCTGACAGGGGACCACAGTTCGTATCTTCATTCACTAAGGATGTATACCAACAGTTGGGCATCCAGGGAAACCCTTCTACTGCCTACCACCCTCAGACGGATGGGCAGACGGAACGGATGAACCAGGAAATAGAGACCTACTTGAGGATATATACTTCCTATAGACAAGACGACTGGCCATCCAAAATACCCCTCGCTATGTTCGCATACCGAAACCATAGACAAGCAAGCACCGGCTATACCCCATTCTACCTTACGCACGGATACCATCCCTACACGGGAGTCGAAACCAGGAAAGAACCCCGAAACCAATCGGCCGAAGAATGGGCAAAGGAGATGGAGGAACTTTCCAAGGACGCAACTAATCACCTTACCAAAGCAAAAGGTATAATGAAGAAGTACCACGATGGCAAATACCCAGACCATGCGGCCTATACCAAGGGCGATCTGGTACTACTAGAAGGAACTAATATTACAACCACTCGACCAAGCAAGAAGCTGGACGATAAACGTTACGGACCATTTAGTATAGTAGAAAAGGTCGGGAAGTCGGCATTCAGACTCAAGCTCCCACCCGCTTGGCGTCACATACACCCCGTCTTTCACGAATCTCTATTAATACCGTATCACCCCGCACAATTTAGTGTACAAAAAGACGATACTACTATACCCGTTCCGGAAGGCGAATCCCCCACCATTAGCCAAATCCTTGACAGCAAAAAGTCCAAGACTGGACTATTATACCTGGTTAAATGGAAGGGGAAGGACGACACCGAGAACACCTGGATACCCCGCTCTACAATAGCAAAGGACTACATCCTACTGCTTAATAATTTCCATAAGCTACATCCCAAGGTGCCCAAACCGCCTAATCTCCTTACTATACCCGGTGGTCAAAGGATCCGCGCTCAAGAAGACGAAGAAAGCGACGATGAACCTGACAGTAAAGGAGGGAAGATGACGGAGGAAGAAGAGGGAGAGTGGAAGGAAAAGATCTACTGGGATCACAAAATGATACGATGGTATAAACGCAAGTTCCAAGCCCATGTCGTACTTCACGTACCCCTCGATACCCCGATCGGCCTAGAAATAGGGCTACCTGAGAAATTCGACATCGTGTGCATCTGGCTAGCGAACCCAGACCACTATATTCATACGGTCTTGTTCGTTGGAACTCCCAAGTCGCACAACCATCTATTTGTATACCCGATCAACGCCCAGTGGATAGTGGAAGAAGGAAAGGTCCAGTGCCCGGAGCGCACTCACGGCTATTATTATCTCGACGATGCACCAATACCCTAGCAACGTATGCGTTTCAAGGATACCCCGGTGAAGGAAGAAGACGTCTCCAAATATACCACATATGACCCGGAGCGTACTCGGACACCAATACCCAAAACCAAATGGAACCTACAAGCCGTACACCCGCGCATCTACGACTAGAATTCAAGCCTCGTGAGGACACTTCGGCCTGGAGGGGGGGTACTGTCACGGTTTTTCCGCGCCACAAGTCTCAAGCGCCCACGGACCATTATTTATCCACCTAGTTACCATATATAGAATATACC